CCAGCCAGTAAGGCTGGTTGGGGAATTCTGGGAGTTGAAGTCCACACATCTTAAGGTTGCCGAGTTTGAGAAATGCCGATTTAAAAGAACGAGCTACCTATTTCTGTGGGTTTTCAGCTATATTCTGCCATTAGAATAGACACACACACAGAAAATTAGGCCACACAGCCAGAGTCCTTTCTTTTGTGGACTGCAGAAATATTGTTCAGGAAAGCCATTTTTTTTAAGAAAGGAGAACTTTAGGATTTTAAAGTGGAAGGTTGAAACTTTGCTAGAATATTACATATGAAGTTGAAATGGGGACAAAGAACCAAAGTTTCAAAATCAGGAAGATGAGGGGATCCAGGTATTTTTGGCGAGGTATTTTGTGAGACCAGGCGGCAGCTTTAAAAGCAATGAAAAGCAGAAGTGCTTAGCAGCAGGCCAACGTCTCTAAAATGCAACGTGGTGTTAAGATAACAGGGCAGGCACGGGACGGAGAATTCTCACCTCCGCATCAGCGCAAAGCAAGGAACCTAGCATCTGCATATAAAGTCGAAAAGTTAGCACTGAAAAGGGAGGTTCGGGGAGATGACCACTTGAATCTCCACATTTCATTGAGTGTTTTTGCAACATTTCAAGCAGTCCACTGTGTACACAAAACAAGAAAGGAAACATAACAGAGACCCCAGGGACACAAGACTGCAATTGTCTGAATGTCTACTAATTGGCAGAGAAGCGCTTCTGAAGCAGAGACTCTGTACTTACGCTCTCTGTCTGCTGTCATGTCCCGCAACTCCCCAGAAAAGTCCCATTTTAGAAATCAGTTGGTCAAGTGATAGCTATTAAATGCATATTAAAAACCCGAAGACACCAACAGATCAGCCATTGCAGTTAAAATCTGCTGGATCATCCAGATAAGTAAAATTACAAGACACACAGACACGCACACCTCCTAAACAGAAAAATCTCCCAGAAAAAAAAAAGAATTAAATCCTGCTCTATTTCCATACTTCAATTTGAAGTAGATATTAAGAGCGCCGAGAGCGTTTTAAAAGTGGCTGGATGTTTCTTTACAAGGGTGCTGCCACGGTTGAAAGTGGTCACAACGTCTGGGCTCTTACCTATTCTCTCCCAGGAGTGATTGTATGTGGGAGACCAGCAGATGAGTAAAGACATTAAGAGCAGCCTTGTGCCATCCCCACTAGTACTGTTTTAAACTACAGAAAGCTCATGAGAGTTTACACTGTTTACTGTATGAAACACTTTTAAAATAAGTTTATTGGGGGGAGGGGGAGACCATGAATTAAAAGACGATGCAAAAAACTTCTTTTCCGTGGAATTTCCTCCATCTCTGTCCACTGTGCTAATATTCAGGATCTTGTCAGAGTTGCTTTTCAGGAAGGCAATTACTAAAATCAACTAAGGTTAAGTTAGCCTACAAGCCACAAAATGCAACAGTAAAGATATTCATTTCTTCCCCTTAAAATTGCATGTTAAATTGTAATCTAAGTTGTGAACATTTAAATAGAATATATATCTCCTATGAAAAAAGTTGGAGCACAAGTGCTTCTGTACCCCCCACCCCTTGTCCCTCCTCCCCCCCAAAGTTTAGATTTTGGGCCCTGGCCAACTTGGAATGCTTTTGTTCAACCATCCCACTCCCCTAACAAGTTTGTGCACGCTCAGGAAATATAGAGTCAAAAATATACAAATCTCTCCTTTACTACAAGCTCTGCATGTGGATGATTTTTTTTTTTTTCCAGAATTATGGAACTGAATGACGAGGAGGTGAGGGAAAGCCTGGGCGATTCACTTCAAAAAAGAGTTGCAGAAAGAAAGAGAACAAAAAACCTGGTCGCTTGGGTTGGGGGGCAGGGGAAGGAAAAAAAAAATACCCCAAAACTGCAGGACTGGTGAAATTTTGACTGCTAAAAAGTGATACTGTAGTGGAGTTTTCTAGGAAAAATAAAACACCTTTTAATAACTGGCCCGCTGGTATGAGCTACCGTGGAATAAATTAGCACAAAAATGGAAGTCTTATAACTGTTCACTGTTACAGACGTAATCCACAAGGTCAGTCACTCGCAAGAGTTCGTCTTCATCTTCCTCCGGTCCCCCTGCCTCCGGGCCACCACCTGTCCCATTGGATGCCAAGCTGGCATTGGCTGTGCTGTCCTTGGAGGAGGGGGCCTTCTCACTGGGCTTACCAATCAAATTCTCGATTGTTTTCCCGGGGCTCTGTCCGTTGGTGGACGGCAAATCCACCAGGCTGTAGTCCAACGGGCTTTCTACCTTCCCCACATTGTCAAAGTCATCTTCCTCGTCGCTTTCTATCCGGTAGCAGGGCTTCTTGGTGGTGTCTTGTGGAGCAGGAGAGACAAAGGGCTTATTAGCGGGCACCAGCTTGCTTACGTTGGTGTTGGTGTTGGCGCAGTTGTCTTCCTCGTCCGTTTCAATACGATTCACACGCTTGCGGATCGGCCGCCCCTCCTCGTTGTCCTCCTCGCCTTCCGAGTACTCATCTGTGGTGTGGCTACGCTTCCGGACCGATCTTTTGGACAGCGGGGCAGGTTGGTCGTCCTCAGAATTTTTAGCCGTGTAGCTCTCTGCAACAAGGATCAGACTTAGAGGGGTTAGCAAAATCTGAAGGCAGGGAGGAGCTCCAGCTGTGCTTCTCTTTTTAAAAAAAACAGAGCACGCTCCACATGTATCACAGAACGACCTGTTTATACCAGGATAAAAATGGGAGCCACGGTAAAATTTAAAAAGGTTATGTTACCCAAGACAATATTAGAGACATTTGTTATATTGTATTTCTGCATGATTTATTAAAACGTTATACTAGAGCAGTGTTCCTCAACCATGACAGCTTGAAGATGTGTGGACTTCATCTCTCAGAATTCCCCAGCCAGCTTGGGAGTTGAAGTCCACACATGCTGGCTGGGGAATTATGGGGGTTGAAGTCCACACATCTTCAAGTTGCCAAGGTTGAGAAACACTGTACTGTACTAGAGAGACCATAATAGGCCTGAACATTTAGGAGAAAACCTTCAGAGTCACATGGATCAATATCAGGGCCATTATGGTCATCTCAGTCTCATGGTGCAATCTCCAAGGCTTATTTGCTCAGAAAGAAGTCCCACTCCAGTACATTGAGGCTCCATTTTTTCTCAAGATTAACTTCCTGTCTATATGAACAGGCAGTACGGCAATAACGTATATCAATAAATCAACCCATCAGTTTGCCTATCTTGGGGATGCTGTAGCTACATTCCTACATCACAGTTAACCAGAACAATTTTTTTGTGTGTGTGGGGGGGTGCCTTTGAGTCAGTGTTGACTCCTGGTGACTTCCTGGACAAGTCCTGCAGTTTCTGGCAAAAGGGAAAGTAGTTAGGTAGAAGAATCCTTTGTCCTGAGTTTGGATCTCCTAAGTTTAAACAGATAAAAGGAAATATTTTTTTACCCAACATGTAATCAAACTTTGGAATTTGCTACCATGAGATGTGGGGCTGGCTACCAGCTTGTCTGGCTTCAAAAAAAAAGGGTTGGACCAGTTCATGGAAGTCCTGGAGATGAATGGCAGTGGGGCTGCCTCCGAAGGGGATCTGCTGGGAGACGGGTGGGCTTCCTTGGGCAGCTAGTGACCCACTGGGAGAACAGGCTGCTGGATTAGATGGGCCAGGGGTCCCATCCAGCAGGACATGGCTTGTGTTCTTATGTCATGATGAAGAGTTACAAAACTACAAGCAAGACCTGGCACCTGAAGAAAGAAGCCAACATCCTCTTTGGATGCTTTTATACTAAATAGCTCTGACAGTTAAACATGACACGGGAATATTCTGTTTTATATAATGCGTGTATGCATGTAGGTATGCTACTTATCCTTATTTCAGATTCTGCAGCATAGCAAAAATCATTGTTGTACTGATGGCAAATGTCCACTTGGCCCTGAGCCTCGATGGGGCAGGCTGAGGGTCGGTGGCAGACAATATCCTGATAGCGGGGCTAAAAATGCCAGCTGTCCCTCGGCCTCCCCTGTCTAGGTGCAGAGTCATGCTTTCTTCTAGGACAAGCCTCTGGGAGGATGCCAATACTGTCTGAAAGAATGGCAGGCTCCCGCCCTACTTCAAGCGTTGGCTATCCTGCTATAGATGTGAACAAGCTGTGAGAGGACAGGCAAGAGACAATTAAGCCGATTTTCTTTTATTGCTGGACTAGAGATAGCATTTCAGAAAGCAGATCAAACACTGCTTTCGGACTCTGTTCACTGCGTGTTCTTTGCATGTCAAGGCCTTTTCTCGTTTTCAGAAGGGAGCCCCACTAGGATCTATCTTTCATATGCAATTATTCTGCTTTTACAAATACGCAATTCTAAAAATTATAATCTATTTTAACAATGATTATTTTATTTTATGAATTTTATAAATTTATAAATTTTATTATTTTATAAATGTATTATTATAAATTATTTTAACAATTATAATTTATTTTCCAGGAATGACATCAGCTGAGGCCACATGCTTAATGCAACTACATGTATGACCCAGTGTTGTGTATTAAGCAACCCACGAACTATGTTTAAAACTCTCTTGAAAGTTGTCTCACGTTTTGGCCGCTGCAATTTAACGCTTTGGGATTGCTACTGCTTCGAATTGTTTGGTACTATGGGATTCTAAACCGGCTATCAGGATGACCTCACATATCTACAACCTCCAAATACTACCTTACTTATATAGAGGTGGGAATCAGTAGGTGTTAGTGCAGTTTTTTATTGAATATATGTGAATTTAAAGGCATACCAATATTGTGGTACTTCTGACTTTCTTCATTTCTGACTTACTAGAGACTTTTGAATCAATATAGGAAAATGCTTCAGTGTTGGGCCCTTGTGATGATTTCAGTCTGAGATTCTTGAGGTATACAATACAGTGTTGGACTGGAGAGACCTGGGTTCAGATCCCAACTGCACTATGAAGTTGACTGAGTGAACTTTGGTCACTATTTCTCAATTTAAACCACCATGCAGGGTTCTTATGAAGATAAAACAAGAAAGGGGATGAACACCTTGCACTCCTGGAGAAAAAGTGGGATATAAATATAATAAATAAATAAAAACAAATTTGATGCTAAAAAAAATAGCAAATTATCTCAAAGCGCTTGGCTTAATAAGGCTGCTTTGCATCTATGTGGACCCCCATCGCTGCCAAATTGTATTCAGTTGTGTGAGGAGAGTCTTCCATAATTGTGGTGGGATTTAAATTCGATTAATAATATGAAATAAATAAATGTTTATCATACCTTCGCTGTCTGAACTGGAAAGCCTGCGCTTATGTATTCTTCTCAGCTCCTTCCCGTATCGGAAGCTTTTCTGAGAGCCCTCACTTTCCGAATCCTCCTTGTAGTTTACTTGTCTCTTCTGATTCCGCCGAGATCTTCGTCTTGTTTCCAAATAATCCTCATCGCTGTATTCTGAAGAAGCATCTGTTTCTGGACAAGGCAGGGAACCGGGAGATGAGAAAGGAAGGAAAAACATCTAGGTCAGTTTATCTAGGGAACTGAATATTCTCCACTACATGGGCATTCAGATATAATCTAAGTCTTTAACTCTAGCCATCCCCCCCGCCCGAAAAAAAACTTGGTCAAAAGAAGGATGTACCAAATGGTCTGACCCCAAAACAGGACCATTCCAAGTGTTTCAGCCCATTTCCAGGTCAGAACAGGTATGATGGAACGTGCGTATACACTTAGGCAAAATTACCCCCGAACTGAGCTAATAAAACTATTACCCATTTATTTTGTTTATTCATTTATTGACAAGCAGTTCTCTACGGTTCATCTTCTTTTTAAAGAACTTTATTAAATTTCAACAGAGAGTAAAATATAGAAAAGTCAAAAAAAGGAAGGAAGTAGCAAAAGAGAGAAGATCAGAAAAGAAATACAAAAGAAAAAAGTAACTTCCAACTTTCTTTGGTACAGGTATAGATATAAAATACATTCACCTCTTACTCTAATATTTAAAAAACTACAAAATAAATCTCTATCCACAAGAAATATAAAGAACGTTAATACAAAGTATTTCTATAGTTATAAAATAAATCAGTCATCGGACCCCAAAATCAAAGTTTCATTTTTTTTGAGTCTCAAGTAAAAAGTCCAAGAGTGGTTTCCAAGTACAAACAAAGCCAGATAGTGTCTTGTCTCTACGGTTCATCTTTCAAAGCCTTGGGGTTATGCAGCATCAGAAACAAAAGATAATTTAAAAACGGCCACCCAAAACGAAGCATCCAACGGTATCAATCATCAGCCGCTGGAGGCTGGCTGAAACGGAGCCGATCTGATGGCTCTACAGAAAGCCAAAGTAATGCTGTCTGACTCCTCAACTGTAAGAAGGTGGTTGGTCCTCCAGGAAAACAGATGTTGATCAGCATCATTCAATCCTCTGGACCAGCCATCAAGTTACAAAGACTTACCAGAGTCACCACTTAAGTTATCCTCAGAGTCTTCCTCTTCATCATCTTCTGAGTACCTTTTCTTGATCGTTTTTCTCTGTAGCCGTCTGCTTTGCCTCATAGGCCTAGGATGGTGCTGTCTCGGCCTACGCTGGGAGAACTCTGCATCGCTGTCGTCATTTGATGGCTGATCCTCTTCACTTTCATCGAGGTTATCATCTGATACCACAAACTCATCCTGAGATCTGTGGGGACAAAGATTAGTGGAGAAGATATTTAAAATTAAGGAATTTCGACTGAAAATACACTTAGCCTGATTAAAGACTTGCATTTTAAGTGGGAAAAAGCACAGATCTATAGGTTTTCATCCTCTGATGGCAGTGATTCACTCTTTGAATTAACGGTTTCAGTTATTAATATGCTGCCTTTTTTGTAACAGGACCGTGGGACCTATCAAAACAAGTGCCTGTGCCTTGTAAAATGCCTGATGAGAAAGTCTTACATATGACATTTATATGTCAGGAAGGATTAAAAATTGTTCTTTAAAATGTAAGGAGAAAGCCTTTTTGGCTCTTCTGGTGTCACACACACACAGGCAAAACATCTTCCCCCAGACAGCTGTGAGAATGCAGCCATTTTCAACTCTTTTCCTTTCCCAAGGAAACAGAACCAGATCGTTGTGTTACCCGACATCGCTAGATGCTGTTGGTCTATGATAGCCCAAAATCAGAAGGACTCTGGGAGCACTTTTTCCAACTAACAAATGTTATTAAAAGGTGTAAGCTTTCATGAGCTCCACGCAACTGATGAAATAAGCTGCAGTTCACAAAAGCTTACGCCAGTGTTCTTCAACCGTGGCCGCTTTAAGATGTGTGGACTTCAACTCCCAGAATTCCCCATACTGGCTGGGGAATTCTGGGAGTTGAAGTCCATCCACATGTCTTAAAGCGGCCAAGGTTGAGAAACACTGGCTTATGGCTTTTAATAAAATGTCTTAGTTGAAGAAGGGGCTACCAGACTCCTGATTTTTCACTATCATTGCCAGTGACCTCTGGTGCTGAAATATGGCACCACGGCACCAGGGAGCTCTGGAGTGTTTCAGGTGGACCACAGATTGTCCAATCCTGCCTTTGATGATACTGAAAGCTCAAAAACATGCTTTCCAGTATCAGGGCCCCAAATAAGTCTTGCATAGTGCACTCCTCTTTAGAAGAAGGAGCAGTCCTACAAGAATAAGGCAGAAAGTCCTGGAATGTGGGAGAAAGTGTTGAAGGAGAGGCTACAGGCCCACCCTGAGCTTGTCTGTCACCTCCAGATGCAGGGAAGGATCTTATTCCACGGCCCCCATTGAAAGAAAATTCAACTGTCATCCCATCAGCTTTGGTTCCTGGAATTAAAAGCATCCCTTATGGGAGCAAAACATCCCTGGTCAGGGCGCTAAGGCGGCAGCTATGAAAGTCTATCTTCAAATGCAAATGCTAAACTGAAAAATGGCCACGCTAACGCCAAGAGGGGGAGAGAGGAGTTTTTTCCAACCTCCACCCTATTCCCTCCAGATGTGCTGGACTTCCACCCAAGACGGAAAGGCAGACCCGAGTCGAGGAGATGCATTCCAACTGGAAATCCAAGGGGCTTGGCTTGGCCTAGTTGCGAGTGAAGAGACTTTAGCGCGTCTCACCCTTCGCTGATTCTGAACTCATCTTCACTCTCTTCTTCATCCAGGTTGCTGTCACTGTCCAGGTCATTCAGTCGCCGCCGTTTCTTGCGGCGGATGGCAGCAGCTCTTGGAGGCCGCTTGCTCTCCTTTCTTTCTTCCTCCAGGATGGTGGAAATGTCCTTGCCTCGATGCCCTGTGATGTTAGACATATCCTTCCCTCTTCCACCACCTACATTCAGGGGGATCAAGATGATGGCAACAATGAACTGCTGTAGGCCTTCTTATTCCCTATGTATTTCTTCACCCGCTGCGAGTCTCCCTTCCATAAAACAATGGGGTGCAACGTTTTTTCTATCAAGAGCCGCCTTTGGCTTTTGAATGGAATGCTGGGGGCCTCACTCCCTCAATGTGGGCAAAAAGTAATACCTTGTTACACATTTGATTTAATCCCCATGTCATTAAGGTGAACAGTCAGTAAGACTGCTCCCCATGCATTTAGTGGTTTCCCAATTCTATCAAATCACTTTGGGGGCCACATTCAAGACTGTTGAGGGACTGATATGACCTTGAGGATGCCAGACATGTACCTCCACCAAAAAAGGTGGTCAGATCTGCTGATAAATGGGGTATTTCTCCACCTTGCACACATTCAATGAAAGTTTGGACAAGGTAATGATATTTAGGATTCTGATTTTGTTTTTTCCTTGTCTTCCTTCCAAGTAAATCAGGAATGCATACATAGGATTCCTCCTTCCTGTTCTCACATTCCTTTACTCCAATAATCCAACAAGGGAGATTACATTATGTGACAGTAAGTACAAAAACAGCAGGGCCAAGAAGATCTTGAACTCATGTTACTTTGGCCTGATTTCAAGAAGTTTGACAAGAGGATAAAAGCCAAATTCTGCTGTTTCTGCATTCAGCAAATACACAGTTCCCTTACCCCTGACTGAAACAGCTCAACATCTAAATCCCTCAACCCAAATTTAGCATCTGCCATGCAAAAATTCAGAATAACCATTCACTGCTCAACTCCTCCACATATTTCTCTAATACTATCCAAATTTAGCCCCCAAAGCTCACCTCCTCCATCAGCCTCCTTGATGTCATCTTCTATGGCTTCATCAATGGCCTCGTCAAATTCATCAAACCTGGGAAATAGGATTTGATGGCAATGACTATGTGTCAACTCTTAGCAACTTGGTTTAGCAACCACACAGATTTTCTCCAGGAAAACAGGATAGACTCATATTTATTTTATACACATCTTTATTTTGTGCAACTCAAGGTGATGTGCATAACACTCCTGCATCCTATTTTCCCCTCAACAACAACCCAGTGAGGTGGGTTGGGCGGAGAGGGAGAGGGCGCAACTGACCCAAAGTCACCCAACTGGCTTTCGTGCCTAAGGGAGGAACAGAGTTCAAGTCTCCTGGTTTCCACTCCAGCACTTTCACCGCTGCACCAACTAGCTTTCTAAAAGTTTCTGCAAGGTTTGAACTGAGGATGTCCTGCATGTGAAGCAAGTATTCCAACAGTAGTGCCATTGAAATAATATTATGCCTTAACATCTCAACCACTCTTCAAGGGATAAGCAATCAAATATAATAAGGCAACCGAAGAGCGAAAGACATCAACTACTTGTAGTTTTGTAACCAACTAAGAACCATAACTTTACAAGCATGCTGGCCGATATTAATTTCCTGGTTATCTGGTCAATCACCCACCATTCTCATGTTTAAATAGACTGAGCACACAAACAGGAAATTAAATTTTATTCCCAATGATTATCAATGGTATTTGGATTCCTTTACACTAATGAAGACTGAGATGCAAAGAGGAAGAGAATTAACTTGTATCTCACTAAAGAGACATTCTGATTTTTTATTCTTCACAAATGTTTGAAAAAAGAAACATTACAGAGATCTACTGCCTTGCAAATTCTGTAGCACAGCTTCTTATATTTAGTTTACACAAGCAGGATAAACTTTATGATCGCCCTGACAGATTATCAGCACAAAATATTAAAAATGGACATTAATTTCCCACAATTTTCTCAATAATTTTCTTCTGAAAGGAAAACAGCTGTTCTTGCTCCTTAAGTGGTAATCTGCCTTTTTTTTTTTTATATAACAGAGTGACGTAAGGGAAGGGATTAAAATATAGTTAAGGGTCCTTGCAAATGTTATAGTTAAAAGCAACTTGGAAAGATGTGTAAAAGCAGCCAAGATGAAGCATTTCACCATCGCACTTGTTTCAAGGGCCCTTTCAAACTGCTACTATTATAAAATGGCTTCATTTCCCTGGAGCAAGAGAGGGGGGGATCTGCAGGGTACTGTAATCAGTTCTTTGCATCTCCTGGAAACCTGACAATTTGTCTAAAAATCGCAGAAATGGAGTATAAAAATAGAAGGGAGGAGGAGGCTTCTAGACCCCTAGGCAACTTTGCAGAAGTTATTCTGATTAGGGACATCAGAAGGCTGCATGGGAAAACAGTGCAGGAACCTTCACGCCATGAGCAACCGCCATAGTAGCAGAGGGAAGCCACAGATGCAGCTAGCTTTCTACCCATCTGATGGGCCACGGATTTTCCATCCCTGGCTCCAAAAATCCAACTTTCCACCATACTGCTGATGAAGCAATACAGGTGGAACACACTGAAGTGTTTGAGCCAGGGATGGGAAATTGGTGGCCCACCAGATGTTGCTAAACTACAAGTCACCCACTTGTAATCAAGAGTCACTTGTTGAGATGGGCGGCTACAGAAATCAAATAAGTGAGTGAGTGAGTCTCAGCATATCTCACCATTGACCACACTGGTTCAGGTTGCTGGGAGCAATAGTTCCGGAATCATGGAAGAGGTAAAGGTTCCCCACCCCATGGCTAAACCCAATACTCCTCTTTCCATAGAGAACTATTTCAGGAGCGAGGTTTGAGTCCTTCAACTTCTTTCCAATGTCAAAGCAAGATACGAGAGGGGCAGGAAAAGGGGAGAACTTCCAAATCTCCAAACGCTTTGGGGGTGAGGAAGGTTGAGTTGAACAAAGTCTTCCTCTATTGCTGAGACACCTGTCATTTCCTTCCACCCTTAATTTTTGCAGATTTCCACTTGCACGTGTTGAATTGGAGACATAGCATCTCTCAAATCCAGAAAAGTAATTTACCTGTAGCTGATACACTTCCGCTGCCTGGTTGACCTCCTTTCAAGCAGTTTTGCTTTTGATTTTTTGGAATCTTTCTTCTTTTCATCCACAGGTTCAGGGATTTCAGGCTCCTGTTTAAAAGACACCCCCCCTTTAAATACATCATCAGTTGGAGCCAATGTAAGAACTTCCTATGGTTCAACCATTTACGTTCAGCCTGTTTCTGGTTAATGGAAAGAAATGTATAGTTTCAGACCTTCACCCTTAGCCAGCATCTACCTATTACTAAATGAGGTTGTCTTCTCAAATCTTGCAAATAACAGATTTGCCCAACGATAGGTCCCAAGATGGAAATGCCAATCTCAGAGGCTTTCCCTCAAATCTACAAATGCTCACCTTCAAAAGTCACTGGAAGTAGAGAGGAGGACAAGACAAAACCAAACTACTCTTGATTCTGAGTGATTAGGGAACTAGGTTTAGTGCCAGTGACAGCTCCTTATCTCTCCATATGAAAAGCAGCTAAAGGATAAAATCTTCAAGTTGAGCTTGTCTTCTGGTGACCTCGTGCACGTGTCCCTGCAGTGTTTTTGGCAGCAGTTGGCCACAGTGTTCTTCTGGGATGTGTTCTGACCTTCCCATCTAACCCAAACAGCATGAACCAAATATTTTAGAAGAAAAAAAAGAACAAGTGTGCAAATATCTATCACTAATGCCACTTGTGCCAATTCTGCTTTTTCCCAGATAGAATTTTTTATTGTTTTCAGCACTAGGTCCTTAACTGAGAGCAAAAGGTATCAGGGGATCCATTTCACTTACCCGTGGAGGAATGATATTCTCGATACTAATACCGACATAGACAAGGCGTTCCTTCCTTGGAGAGAAAAACAATACGAAAATGATATTTTTTTCATAATACCCTCTGCCTTTCCATTCCCCCTTTACTATAGTACCAATATACTTCAAAGCTGGCCAAGTGAGGCTGTCAAAGTCCTGTTCCAGTGCCTGGATAGGGAGAAACCAACTCCGGATCAATCCTACAAGACCAAGTGGGTATGGCAGTTGGGACCGCCCAAATCTGAGGATTTTCCATCTTTATTCCTGCATGGGGTTGCACTTCCCCACTCAAGGGTGGTGCACAACTTCAGGGTTCTCTTGGACTCCCAGCTCCTGCTCAAAGAGCAGGTGGCAACTGTGGAGAAGGGGACGTTTGCATGGCTCCATCTTTCCTGGAATGGTCGGCCCTCCAGGCAGCCACTCAAGCCTTTGTCACCTCACAGCTCAACCTCTGCAACACACTCTACATGGGGCTGCCCTTGAAGACCACTCAGAAGCGTCAACTGATCCAGAATGCAGGGGCACGAGCAGTGATGGGCTTGCTGGGCATGCCCACGTGACATCTCTGCTCCACGAACAACACTAATTGCCAGTGTGCTTCCAGGTGCGATTCAAGGTGGTGGTTATAACCCATACAGCCCTACATGGCACGGGGCCTAGTTATTTGTGGGACAGCCCTCTGTGGTTTCTGCCCCTCCAATATGTGGGTGCACTCCAGGCCCCCTCAATTAAATGGTGTCATCTTGTGGGACCTGGGAAGTGTATCTTCTCTGTAGCAGCACCTCCCACTGGAATGAGGTCCTCCCTGATATCTATATGGCTTCCACCGTGACAACGTTCCAGAAAGCCTTAAAAAAACTGGCTATTTACCTAGGCCTTGGGGTAGAGTGGATGGGATTCTCCTGTTTGTGATATTTTATGTTTGCTTTCTTGTTGGTTTGCCATCTTGTGATTATTTTGTAGTTATTTTTGTACTGTTTGGGGTAATTCTCTGCATTCTGTTGTTTATTTTTTATGTTATTTTATTGTTGTGAGCCACCCAGGGTCGGTTGGAGTCGGGCAGCATCCAAACTGAATAAAATAAAGAAATAAAAATAATTACGTCTGGCTTATTCCTCAAAGCATGCTGAATAAGTGGGCTTGCAAGTTGGTCTGGCCCTAATACTTCTTAGCAAAAACATCAGCACATGAGCTGTGAAATGATGGCATGTGGGCAAAGAACATACAGTGGGGCAAAAAGTATTTAGTCAGCCACCAATTGTGCAAGTTCTCCCACTTAAAAAGATGAGAGCATTTGGATGATCCAGAAGAGGATTGGGAGAATGTCATATGGTCAGATGAAACGCATTTGGATGATCCAGAAGAGGATTGGGAGAATGTCATATGGTCAGATGAAACGCATTTGGATGATCCAGAAGAGGATTGGGAGAATGTCATATGGTCAGATGAAACGCATTTGGATGATCCAGAAGAGGATTGGGAGAATGTCATATGGTCAGATGAAACGCATTTGGATGATCCAGAAGAGGATTGGGAGAATGTCATATGGTCAGATGAAACGCATTTGGATGATCCAGAAGAGGATTGGGAGAATGTCATATGGTCAGATGAAACGCATTTGGATGATCCAGAAGAGGATTGGGAGAATGTCATATGGTCAGATGAAACGCATTTGGATGATCCAGAAGAGGATTGGGAGAATGTCATATGGTCAGATGAAACGCATTTGGATGATCCAGAAGAGGATTGGGAGAATGTCATATGGTCAGATGAAACGCATTTGGATGATCCAGAAGAGGATTGGGAGAATGTCATATGGTCAGATGAAACGCATTTGGATGATCCAGAAGAGGATTGGGAGAATGTCATATGGTCAGATGAAACGCATTTGGATGATCCAGAAGAGGATTGGGAGAATGTCATATGGTCAGATGAAACGCATTTGGATGATCCAGAAGAGGATTGGGAGAATGTCATATGGTCAGATGAAACTTTTTAAGTGGGAGAACTTGCACAATTGGTGGCTGACTAAATAATTTTTTGCCCCACTGTAGGAGTTCCTGGGGAAATGCCTACAAACACTGTTAAGAAATTAGATGCTTCTAAGAGAGCTGCCAGGACATGCGATCCAAAAACACGTACGCCTATTAATGTTCATGGGCTCCTTAGATGGCTGAGCTTAGGGGTGTCTAAAGGGGGAGGGTTAAAAATTCAAGATGGTGGCCACAATCATGTGATCAAAGACCCACCCCTTTCTTTACTGTTTTGATCCCCTCCCTGCAGACACCCCTGCCGGAGCTCATATACTGCTTTCTTTTTGTATGTGTGTTTTCTAGTATTTATTTATTTTAAATGTTTAGATCCCATTCTTCCAATGAAAAATCCAACATGAAGCACAACAGAGGACATTACTTTTCAAAGTTACAAGACAAAAGGCCATTGCCATTAAAATCTGTTTCCCTTTTACTCCACAATTTTATTAAGCCTGAGGACAGCCAGCTGATCACTTCAATTTTAAGGAACCCTCTCATATTATTTAAAAAGTGTGCAGTCTGGCTTCGACAGTCGTAGGTGCAGTTCCTTCATTTTCTGCTTCTTGCCTTCCAAGGATTTTGTGAGACCTGGACAGGACAGAACCTGACAAATACAGCACAGAGGGTCCTGATTTATATTATTTTCAATGGGAACATGGATTTTCATTCCCTGTTTCAACCAAAGGCCCTCCTGAGATTTGTTTACAAATGTGGTCAGTTAATAACTTAGTCTATGTGTCACAGAACAGCTGGGAAGAATGTTAACTATGGTAACTAGTGTTCACCAGGTTGGTATGTAAAATATACAAAATTTGACAATTCAGCCTCCTGAGCCTCTTCCAATTTGGGGAATCTACTTCTAAAACCCTATGGTCCTGAAGAGATTTAGCATGCTCCAATAGAAAAACAACATCCTGGAGTTCTCTGGAGCAGTAACAAAGTTCTACGGTTCTCCAAAATGTTCAATGTTTGAACTGACAAATGTTGCACATCTTTAGTATATACATGCCTTTTTTAGCGGGATTATACTGGCTAAACTTTGGCCAGTTAATATTATTATACCTTCGTTCTGCACGTTCTTTCTTTTTCAAGACAACATCGAGGTCCTGTAGCTGTTCTTCTAACTTCTCACAGAGCAATTTCTATGGGATTAAAACAAAATAACACTATTACATTAGCATACTCCAAAAATATCTTTAGGTAGTCTGTTTCTTAGTAGGCCCACTCCCAAACACTGTTCAGAGTAATGGCTACTTATGGCTATATGAGAAGAAGGAACGGATGTGAATGCCAAAAATAAAGAGATGGAAATTTGGAAAGCCTAAATAAAATGTCTACATTTTGAAGTACATCCCATGGTTGTAGTAAGTTCCAATTTATTTTTAGATCTGGTCTTGCAATTTAGGACTACAGCAGCATCTCCAAAGCCCTGCTTTCAGAAATGCTATCTATTCCAGAGAAACAGGCAAGCAGTAATAAAAAAAGATTCATAATATGTAAAATGTTTAAGACATAAAGGAAAGCTCAGAGGGCAATAAGAGCTTCCATCAAATTAGATGTAATCATAGCTGGTAGGAATCCAAGATTAACCATGATTAATATGGAGGCAATTTGCCCCAGGACATAAGGAAATTGCTCTTATGATACTAGTGACCGCTTCCAATGTACTTGATTATATTAAGGACAGATAATTTAGAAAAATTATGATAAAAATTACAAATTAATACATTCAGTCAGGGAATGTTCCAAGCCATCACAATCTCTTCCATGTTTTTCGGTAGTGATTTGACTTTTCTAAGATTTAATTCTAACATTATCTGCCTTCTGGAATAAGATGGACTCTTCCGGAAGGTGTTTAGGGCATTATATTCCCAGCAGTTATTAGTGGGTTTTTCAGTATTTTGTTTCCATATTATTTTATTTTCTGTATTTTATTCCTTGTTTTAAGCTGCCAAGAGTCTGTTCAGACTACAGCAGAGTACAAACTTAATAAATAAAAAAATGAAGGTTGTATCTCTTCTAAAACATTTGGAATGATCTTCATACCGTAGGAATAAAATCAACTTGCACTACATTTTTTGTATTTAATTTTTCTTGCCTCAGAGGAAAAAAAAAAGGGAAAAGGAAAAAAGGAATCAATGCAGAAGCATGAACTAAAGTTTCAAAAGTTATTCCAAGAATGGAAATATATCGCCAGAGTCATCCAGAGTCTTGAAGTTTTGTATAGCTAGTAAACATTTTCAACAGCCAAGAAAAAAGACACTAAAACTGCAGTTCCCCCTGAACCCAAGTTGAATTTATCCCGAGGAAACTTTTTAGAACTGCTCTGATTAGCTTAGGCTGCTGCACTAGGGTACGTGGAGGTAAAGATGTAAAAAATACATATTATATAAAATATATGTTTGTGTGTATATGGTAAAATATATGTTACAATACATTGGAAAATATAAAAGCTTACACTAAGCAATCTGGACATCCTATCTATCTTCACCAATATTCCAGCCTTCCTCAATCCATTGGCCTTCAGAACTGGGGCTACAAACTCCAGAATTCCCAACCAACATAACTGAATTTGAGGAGCTGGTGCTCCAACACATCAGGAAGATCAAAATCCAGTTTGCCATCCAGCTCCAACATCTCAAGAAGGTTTGCTGGGCCTATCCCACCACCTGGGGTGAATGAGGCACCAGGCCTTCTCCAGAGAAGCCCCCAGGTTCTGGAACATGCTTTCCCTGGAGATAAATTTAGCCTCTTCCATTCTTGCCTTTTGCAAGACAGTAAAAACAGTACATTTCCACCCTACCTTTGGCTCTTTGAGAACATTCATCTTCCATATGCATGGTTCTTACAATTTTGGGTTATTTTCTTAAGGTCTGTTCTGCCTTATTCATGCTTTGTTGTTCACTGCTCAGAGTGTTCAGTGAGTGGGTTGTTTACAAATATTTTATATATATGTACATACAAAAGAAGTTATGCTGGAAAAAACTGCCCCATGCTGCCTGGAAGAGGCTGTCTAAGTCTCAAAAAGAGCAAGGCCCTCTGCATCATGAGCCACTTTTAACAGCAGCCACTCAGTACTGAATCGGAGACTACCTTCCTGAAAAACCTGAATTTTATTCCCTTTACATTGCAAATGTATTAATATTCCCAAATGGAATTCAGGAGAACTGAATTCATAACAACATCATGGCTGAAGGCCTGAACGGGAAGGAGGGAAAAAAGGAAAAGAAATCAAAACAAGGCCTACATGTTGACAAGGTGGGCAGAACCACTCGCCATCTGGAATGATCATCAGTGGGGGTCGGAGACACGCCGTGTGGTAGCCGCTGTCACAGGAATCGCACAGAAGAATCTGTGGAACAAATTGAACCATCAGCTTGACTTTGCATCCCAATGCGGATTCCTTGTCTGAGATGCATCTTATTTCCATATGTTTCAAAAGCAGATACCTTGAACAACCCAACTGTTACTTTGGCTCAAAAAGGCAGAGTGAATGTACAGACAAAATTCAGCTGTTTAAAGCACCAACTGAGCTTCATCACAGGCCGCTGAGGGCGTGACTAATTCACCTGCTGAATTATTATAGAATCTGAAAGGAACTGAATTAAGCCACATGTCTGTATTTACAACCCTCAAGTTAATTCCCTGTTGCCTGTAAACGGTATAAAATGGGCAATGAATGCCCTTGTATGGTAACGAAACTGCTGTAGAGTCAAATGGGAAACAAATATACCTCAGATTCTTACAAAGAAATGCAGTTGAAATCTATTTTTTATCATCTGGGCAACATGGGCTATTCTAGAATGAAACCTTAATGCAAAGCATGTCAGAAATTCCGGGCCTCCTCCATATGAGCAGAATGAAAAAGGGAGTGCCTTTATAAACCAATACATATACACCTGTTTTAGAGTACATAACTGTCCTAAATTTCCTATCGTGCTTTTACATGAAGATGCCCCCAACTTTTCTATCCCTGGTTTTATGAATGTATACAGTAAAGAAGGGACTGTACCCACCCAAACATTTTAGCTTTGTTGCTTGCCTGAGCTAACTTTCCATTCTCTCACAGCCTTTTAAGTTCACTGGACCGTCAAACTACAGTAGCTTATGAGTGGAGTGATGGGTATAAATATCGTCTATCATTTTGCACCTTATGCCAAACCTCTGAACCATTATTTCCTATCTCATCTTGCCAACAGATCATAAACCAAGCTCTGAAGATCATGATTAGGCTTCTTTATCTCGGTTGGGGATTATGTTTGAATTCAGCAATATTTCTGTAGAGAGCTCTGTGAGTCTCTTTTTCTACTTTTATCATTCCCAAAGATAAGAACCTACTAGCTCTGGGTGATTAGGAAGGCCACACTTCTTGCAAGGTTCATCATCATCCGCAGGTGCAGGTTCTTCCTCCTCTTCTTCCTCCTCCTCCTCTTCCTCCTCCTCCTCTTCCTCCTCCTCTTCTTCATTCTCAGAACCTTCACTCTCATCATTGCTTGAGTATCTCCATCTGCCACGAGTTCGGGTACCAGCCCATCGAACTTTACTTCGCCGGGAAGCCTGGGGATTCAGCAATAAGGAAAACCTCTCAACTCCTGGACAACATTTCCACAAATAACAGCAACAGCAAGGGCTCCAGGTGTTTTCTATGTCATGGAACACATACCTCTCATTTGCAACTGTCTGAATAAGTCAGCAATCATAAGCACTTTCTAACGTCTCCAAGGAAAGGCAAAAACCTGGTATCTCATAATTCACGGTGTAAAAAAATCACACTGACAGCTCCGTGGGTTGTGCTACTACACAGACAAGAAACTTGCTTTATCATGTAGCACTACATTATTGGTCGATGGACATACTATTAAGCAACGTTTCATGTTATGTTACCAAAGAGCAGCAAGTCTTCTACATATACGCTCAGGAGAGCTGCAAAAAGGTGATGGAAAGCTGCTGCTTCCGCTGTAAATTAGTCACAGAGCATTGTATGGTACAAGTCATAAATGGTGGGTATGTTTAGTTATCTTTCTCTTTGTACTTTGGTTTTATAATCTTTTAATTATGTATTGCCGATTTTAGTTTGTTGTAAGCCGCCCAGAGTCCCCCGTTGGGGGGAGATGGGCGGGGACAAGTCAAATAAATGATGATGATGATGATGATGATGATGATGATGATGATGATGATGATGATGATGTTTTGGTGAAACAAGGCAGATTCAAAATATGTGGTTTTATGGAGCTGCCCCGTTTCACCAAACAATCATTCAGATCACGCGTATTTTGTCTGGGCTTGCCAGTGGCTAATCTAAAGTAGAAAGAACAGAAGAGAACAAGGGACAGAGATTCAAACACAAGACTTGTTGCAATTTGTTCTCATGATGATAAACCGTGAATAACGTTAAGGGCTCCTCTAAAGGCAAGCAGAGTTTGGGTCTGTTGTATATCGGGGAGGAGATCATGCCAGAGCACAGGGGCAGCCATCGAAAGGTATGCTTCCTAGGTTCCAAGAGATGGCAAAGTTTAAAAGAGGGGATCTGGAGCATGTGGGACAAGCAGATGCTCTTAGGAGAAGGTGGCCCTGCAACTAATCCTGTCCTATGGCATGTAGGGTTTTAAAGGTGATACAACCTGCATGTTGAATTGTGCCCATGACTACCCATATCGCTATATTCTGGACCAACTGAAGCATCCAGGTGGTCTTCATGGGAAGCCCCATGTAAAGTGCATTACAACAGTCCAAATGGGAAGTGACTAAGGCATCCTGGTCCAGGAATGGATGCAACTGGCACACAAGATGCAGTTGTGCAAAGGCACTCCAGTCATAGCTGTCATCTGCTCTTCAAGCAGAAGCTGTGAGTTCAGGAGGACACCCAGACTGCGCACAAAGTCTAAACAAGGCAGTGCCATCCAGTCTAGAATCAAAGAGGGAAATACTCCAGTTCCCAGATCCAGGGGACTCAGAACCCATAACCACTGTGTCTTTGCAGAGATTGAGGTGCAACCTGTTCTTCCCCATCCAGACCCTCACAGCCTCCAAACAGTGGGTCAGAACCTCAACAGTTCCACTTGAATGGCCAGGGGCAGAGATGTATAACTGGGTATCATCAGCATATTGATGATACCTTACTCCATACCAACAGAGGACCTCATCTAGCAGCTTCATATAGATATTGAAAAGAAGGGGAAAGGGTAGAACCTCAAGGCACCCCGCAAAGCAGTGGCCTAGGGCTTGACCACTCTCCCACCAACACCAACTGGAACTGGCCTCAGAGGAAGGAGGTGAATCAACAGAAAACTGTGTCCCCCACTCCCAGCCTTCTCAGCCATGGTTGATAGTATCAAAAGCTGCCAAGAGATCAAGGAGAACCTAGATGAACAAACCACTCCATCCCAAGCTCATCGCAGGTCATCAACAAGCACAACCAAAGCTGTTTCAGTACTGTGCCCTGGCCTGAGTCTCAACTGGAAAGGGTTCAGATAATCTATTTCCTCCAGGGCCTTCTGAAGCTGGAAGCCAACCACCTTCTCAACAACCTTCCCTAGAAAGGGAAGGTTGGAGACTGGATGAAAATTGTCCAGTTTGGCTGGATCCACAGATGGCCTCTTGAGAAGAGGGAATGCCACCATCTCTTTCAGAGCTGGTGGAACCACCCTCTCAAAGACACATTTAGCACTGCATGGATCCACCCACATGCTCCCTCCCTGGAGGCCCTAACCAAGGGACATGGATTGAATACACGGGTAGCCACAACTACACCTTTGACAATCCTGTCTACTCCCTCGGAACTAACAGGCTCAAACTCTTTTCAGATAATATCACAAGAGTGTGCCTCAATCACCTCCATAGACCTGCCCAGCTGGAGTCCAACTCACAGCAAATTTGAGAGGTTTTATCCACCAGGTGTCGAGAATAGTCCTCAGTGCTCCGTTGACCCCTCCTGACTCAGAAGGGACCAGGTTGCTCTGGACAGAGCCGCTGGCCAATCCTTGGAGGATGCAGTAAGGGCAGAAAAATAAGCCTTTTTCTCTGCACTTATCGCCACAAGGTAAGCTCTAACAAAGGCTCTTACCTGTGCTCCAGTAAGATTCACTCCTAGTTTTCCACCAGCAGTGCTCTAGGTATCTCTTCTGTTGCTTCATCCTCCTGAGGCCCTCTGAAAACCAGGGGGCATACCAGGGTCTGTGCACAGAGAGAGTCCACATAGGGGGGTACTACGGTAAACTCCAGGGTCATCATATAGTGATCTGCCCATGACAAGGGACAGACAGCAAAATCACCCAACTCCAGATCACGTAGTCACCACCCCAAGACAAAAACCAGGTCCAATGTGTGCCGCTTCTATGGGTGGTGCCCACAATAAGCTGGGTCAGGTCCATGGTTGTCACGGTGGCCATAAAACTGCCTCTGAGCCCACCAAGAATGGTAGATTGAAGTCCCCCAGCACCATAAGTCTGGGGAACACCACCACCAGCCCAAACATGGCCTCAAACAGAGTGGGCAGGGAACTGGTACAATAGCAGAATTCCCAACTGATCCAACATCACAAGTAAGGCCTCACAGTTGGAGCATCCCATCTGACAACCTTCAGAGTCTCCCCATGGACAACAGTACCCATCCCCACCATCCTGGCCATGGAGTCATGGTTGGTGCCAAACCTGAAACACCTCTGAGCACATAAGCTCTCTCTGCTGTATTCCTTTACTAATTCCTCTGCTATTTACAACTATGAATTTCAGGACAAAATCTATAAAACCCTGTTAATGTGGCTAATTGAGAAAACTTATTTAAAAAACTACCCTAATATGTACAGCTTGGAGTAAGTGATAGAGGGAGGTGATAAAAAAATCACTTTAATCTCTGGATTTTTAACAGCATTAGCAATCACCAAAATATAAAAGACCAAGGAAACCACATCTGAATATTTCACCTTGTGGGTTTTAGAATTCATCTCCTTCTCTTGCTTTTTTGATTCTTCTTTCTTATCCTGTTTTTGCATGGAAGCCACCTTTTCCTCCTCTTCCTCACTTCGTTTCTTCTCGGTTTTCTGATCTCGGGTCTCTACTATCTTGGGGGTAGGTTTAGATATCCGGGGGGACCTCCTTAAAATGCGACCAACGTTCACAACTTCCTCCTCCTTTCCAGCAGCTGCATTCAGAGACTTTGCAGGAAGAGGATCCGTTTTCTTCCTACTGGAGATTCGGATTGTGAGCTTAATCCCATCTTTCTGCCTCTCAGAGGTTATTTCCCTGTTCTCTGTCAGAGAACTTTCTTCTTCTGAAATCAGCTTATATTTACACTTGCTTTTTACAGAGTCTTTTTTCACCTCAGAAGATTCCTTGATGGAGCTTGGGATGTCACCTATTGTTGGCAGCTCTCTCTCTTCAGATTCAGAGTCCTTGTGTGTTTTAGCCTCCTGCTCCTCGTACGCTTGTTTCTTGACAGGGAGAGTGCTTCTGGAATCAGAGTCTTCTTTCTCCACCACAGGTTTCTTAGACAAAAGGGCTGAAACAGATGATGGAGTTGCATCTGGCCTGGCTAATTCTGTTTTCTCCTCTGAAGGACCTGTATTTTTCAAATCATCAGCCTCGGAAGCAACAGTCAACTCTTTAGGGGATGGTAGCTTGGTGGATTTTTCCAAGCTCTCCTTGGAAAGCATCAGGCTATCGTTTGCTTTAAGAGAGTCTTCAAGCTTCTTAGGAGGATCATCTGTCTTCTTCATCTCAAGCTGGTTTTCGTTCCCTTTTGGGCTGGTTTCCTCCTTTAAAGGCACGATCACACCAACAGCCTCCTTCCCTGGATGCATAATACACCTCTCAACATCACTGGTTCTTACTATTGTGCTAATACCCTCTTGTACTCGTTCCTCCCCAAGGCCATTTTTCTCCTTAGGCAGGCTGGAAGCATCTTCCTTTGGGCAAGAGGAATGATCCAATTTGTTATTTGGCATGATTTTCTCACTACTAATTTCCCCATTTACTAGGAATTTCCCATCAGTGATTGTAGGAACTCTCTTAAAGGTCTCCTCTTCAGGTTTGCCCCCTTCCTCCTTCAAAACCTCTTTGGTTGGAGTTATACATTTGCGTAAGGGACCTTTTATGGGGCTGTCATAATCATCCGTCAGCTTGATCTCTCGCTTTTTGAGTGGGATCTTTGCCTGCTGGTCATTTTTAAGTTTCTCGTTCTCTTCCGCTGTTCTTTCCACAACATCTTGGGGAGTTTTGACGCTGACACAGAACTCTATCCTCTCAGGCTCATGGACTGCTTTCTCTGTGTTGCTATTTACCTCTCTTGAATCTTTTGGCTCCAGCTTATACTCCTTCCCTTCTGTTTTATCGGGCTTAACGTTTTCTTTAAAAGAGTCATTTTCATCTTTGGTAGTTTGTGCTTCCCCGTTGTTCTCCAAAGGTTTTTCTAGTTTTACGATAACGGGGAGCTTTATGATTTCTCTCTCTTCCACTTGTTCTACTTTAATCTTGTTTTCCTCTTCTGGAACTTGAGGAGGTGGAAGGTTTTCACATGGCTTCGGCAGTTCTTCTGGTAGTTTTTCTTCCTTCACCTTTAATTCATTTTCTATTTATAATTAAAAACAGAGAAACAAAATAAAGTTACAATAATGATAAGCATTAATTGTACCCAGCTCAGACCACATATGTGCATGCTAACAGGATTGTACAGTGCTTTGGAAAATATTCAGAAACAATACTTCAAAATGTAGAGGGCTGCAACCCCAGCACCTGTCTGCATCTCCTGCTACTTCTCCCAGGAAGGAAAGGCTGCCCTCTGCAGCTACCACAAAATCCAGGGAAAGACGCAGCTGCTTTAAAGAGTTACAGATAAGTACTACATTTGTGCCCTTGTATGTTCCAAAGTTCCTTTTTGGAAGTGAATTCAAAACACTACAAGATTATGATTAAAATACATTCCAATGATAAACTTTTATTTGGAATAGCAAAATCATAAATAATATTGATGGAATGGTCGTAGCTTCCCCTAAGAGAATCCTAGGAACAGTAGTTTGTTACTCGCATGTCTTTGTTGATTCCTCCTCCTCCAACAGGCTGCACTATACCACTACAATTCTCAGGTTCTCCAAGAAGAAGAAATTATTATTATACATCTAAAATCTAAAGCAGTGTTTTTCAACCTTGGCAACTTTAAGACATGTGGACTTTAGCTTCCAGAATTCCCCAGCCAGTATACTGAAGTCCACATATCTTAAAGTTGCCAAGGTTGAAAAAATGCTGCTCTAGAGAATAGAAGTAGAAAGACTCACCCTGGAATTTCTGTGTGCATATCGGAGTGGGGGATTGTTGAGGTTTCATGTGTGTGCTAATAGTATGCCCCAGAAGGCCTATCCTGCACCTATCTCTGGAACAAGCTTTTGGGTGATTTTGTCTTTGCTTGTCTGGAGCACATCCCCCCTTTGTTCACTTCAGAAGAAAACGCACAGTAATTTTTGTAAACTGAATTCTAATTCAATTTCCAAATATTTTTGTATTGCAACAGTTAAAGTCAAATTAGCCAACCTTTCGAAACTTAGATGCTAAGGAAAATCAACAATAGGCCCTTTAAAGGATGTTTAATATTGAACCTCCCTCCCCACATTCCTTGTGTGCCAGTTCCCAGAAGAGTAAACGATAATGCAAAATGCCCACTGCAAGATGAGAACAGTAGCAAAACCTTGGACTGCGGTGTCTTCCCCTTTTTTGGCCTCTTCATCTTCAGTACTAGGACTCTCTCGTGACAAGTTATCCTGTTGCTGGTTTTTCAACAGTGCAGGGTCAATTTGCGCTTTCAGGAGCTCAAGAGTTTCAGCCAGCTCATTTCGGCTTCTGGATGAAAAATAAGACACACACCAAACCTCAGAAAAATAGCAACCTTATGTAATACGCCACTCCTGCCCAAATCTGTCTGCCTGTGTTCTGCTTTGCCAGCATTTGCAGGCAAACGAAGAGGAGGAGAAAATATCTGGGAAACGTGATAGGCTATCTCCGTTTTAAAAAATCTAGATCAGTGTTTCTCAATGGTAGGAACTTCTCCACCTCAGCTGGCTGGGAAATTCTGGGAGCTGGAGACCACACATCTTAAAGTTGCTGAGGGTGAGAAACACTGATCTAGATAAAATTATGAAGGGCTGCATTAATACTTACCTTCTTCTCAGATCTATTTGCACACTTAGGAGGAGCCAACACTTTGCACCCTAAACATTTAATGGGAGCAAGAATCAGGATTCACCCTCTACCTAACACATAAAGCCCATGTCTCTGACTATATTTTTAACATTATTTTTTTTCCATGTAAAGGACTTTATATTTCCATATAACGTTGCAGACCTAAACAGGACCCAAGAGGCAGCTGTAAGAATTTCTAATTGTGCCACAGGCAGAGTTTGGAAAATCACAGCTATTCTCTTTGGAAGAATTATCTGAGCAAGGCCTGGCCTTCTGTTAGTTTGTTAAAAACAGTTCAGCATTCCCCAAGCTATTGCCTTCCAAACATACTAGGCTTAACTCAGTATTCCATAGTCAACAAGCCTGAGGGCACCATGTTGAGAAACAAGAGAGGGTACCTGACAATGCACTTCCATGAAGACCCATCTTGATCATCCTGCTCTTCCACATACATTCTAACATTATGCTCTTGGTCCAGCTGGTACCAGTAGGTCAAACCATCTTTGTCTCGGCCAAGTGGCTGAAGACGCATGGCATCGGCATCTTCCTCATTAATGATATTCTTAAACTTTAGATTGTCATCAAACTGGCATTCACAAAGGTACTTGAAAAGAGAGAGCAAGGGAAAAGGAGAAGAAGCACATTAAAATATTTTAGGGAACATCAAAAGTGCATTCTTCACCAATATTACCACTACTTTATGGGTCAGCAAATCTAATTTGCAACTTAATTTTTTTATTACTGTATTGTCACCTATTCCCATTGCAACACCAACCTATCACAGGATACAAATTCTTGATATAATATAATCCTGTTATGGATATGTATTAACTTAAACATATCCATAACATCAATTATGAAATAATTCTCTATGTCTACCTATATACGTACACACATACCCCCAAATCACAACCAGAATCCACCTGGTTCTGGGATCCACCCCACAGAATAGTTGATGGGACTGGCTCTGCAGGCAATGAGGGAACAAAGTGATCCAGCTGTGAAGGGCCTGTGGCTCCAAGCTGGAGCACCTGCTCTGCAGCAGAGCTCTGGTTCAAATCCCAGCAGCTCCAGGGAAAATGAGAAAGAGCTCAGAAAAATCTGGGCCTGAGACTCTGGAGGGATGTCACCTGCCTGGGGTGATAAGACTACTCTGGGCAATCAATCTTCTGTAGAAGGCAGTTTCATGCTGCCTTCAAACAACATAAGTCCTCAGTTATTTTCAGTCTATGTAGCCTTCAGGGCTTTGAATTTCCTTGTGTCTTTTATGGGCCAACTCAAGTTCATATGTTATTTCTCTAGTTTAGAAGGAACATATTCCATAGAATTGTGCATGTTTTGAAAATGGTTCAGAAGAGATGTTTTAGAATGGGTATGAGTGCAGGACCTCTTTAAAGCAGCTGCATCCTTTTTCAGCTCCTGCATGGAGATAACTGTGTTTGGTACAGCTTGTAAATGGAGTAGGAAGTAGACAGCACTGCAGAGAAGAGCAATACCTTCAATATTCCCAATTTGCATTCGGTGCTCATTTCAAGATATCCTTTTTTCTCCATCTCCCAAGCCCAGGTGCTGTTGAAGTCTTGACACATCTATAAGGCAAACTTTTAAATTAAATACTGAGGAATCTTTCCACCACTACAAGTATACCCAATACATTTTTGCCATAATGAATGTCTTCTGGTGTCTCTGGAAATGAAGCATGAACCAAGACTGGGGGTGAGGGAGAGATGGAATTGCTAGTACACTCATAGTTTATTTATCAAACTTCAATACTGCCACAGTCTCCAAGAGCTCCCAGTGTTTCACAACAACATATTGTAATACTAAATAATAATTTCAAAAGTTAAACTGTCCATGATAGTAATAACATGCAACATACTAAAATTATTTAACTCAATTTAAAACAATAAAACATAAATAACAACAACAGATAGTGTCATCCCAACTTAGCCCCCAAGTGCCCTCCAGAACAGCTGTATCTTCTGAAAGACGTCCAAGAAGGGGGCTAATCTAACGTCTTGTAGACGAGTACAGAAAATACATGGCAGCCATTACAAAAACATCAGCTTAGTCTGGAAAGACAGGAGGAGGTGAGGAAGAAACTCAAGACTGGCCTGCCTTGACCCTCTTTGCTATAAGAGGAAGGAGAAGGGATGCTCCATCAGGTTTCAAGATTCTGACAGTATAGCCTATTACAATAAAACAGAGTTCTAATATTTCTTGTGGCATTTGTTTCTTGACCTGGTCTACCTCAGAGGGTTGACCCTTCTAGTGGGAAGCTGTTCCAAAGGATAGGTGCCATTATAGAAAACGGACTCCGTGCCTCAGCCCTTGTTATCTCAGAAATGTGGGGAACCACCAGCAGTTTTTCCCAAGGTGAACATATGGGACAGAATCAAAGTCTTTTTCAAGTTGAGCTTAACTCCTGATGACGTCATGAATACAGTATGTCCCATTTATTTTTCTTGGCAGAGATACAGAAACAGCTTGCCACTGTCTTCTTTGGGGATGATTTTTGACTTCCCAGTCTACAGCCTTGGCATTTCCTCATGGTTTCCCATCCAAGTACTGAGCCAGTCCAACCTTGCTTATCAGACAAGGTACGCTGGGTGCTGCCACCTATCTGGGCAAACCACAGGACTAGGTGTTCCAAATCACAGGAGACAACAGCAGCCAATACAGAGACATACCTTACAGGTACTCGCTTCAGGTCAGAAATCAACTTCAAAATCTGTACAGAAGTTTTTGACTTTAGGCCAGGGTATTATTATACACTGCCAAGCCCTCAGCATCCAATATTATATTTTCAAAAGATATAAAATCAATATACCTTGATTAAGTATTTTTCCCATCGGTCCGCTGTGACAGATTTTCCAATCTTTCTCATCAGTTTCAGATGAAGTTCGACCAATTCTCTTGGAACTAGAAATAATAAGAAGGAAGAGTGTGTTTAAAGAAATGAAACAAAGAAGTTCTTGATAGTAAATGGAAGCATACATTAAATGCAAGGTGTTTTTCTTTTTTGCCCTTGAACACAAATTTTATTTTTATTATTTTTTTCTACTCTGAAAATTCTGTAAGACAAGAATACAAGGTAATATCTAAGAACAACTATCTCAACATTCAATCAGTTTCCATGTATCACTACATTTATTGAGTTATTATTATTTGCACCCATTATATAATTTTCCAAAGCTAATTAAAATGAGATTCATCCTTCTGTGAAGCTAATATTCTAATTTTATCAGTAACTTTTCCAAGAACACCAACTGTTCAATGATAAATTATATAAGAATTTCCACTTTCGTGCAATTATTGATTTAGCTGCCAGGAGTAAAAATACAACAAGCTCTTTTTTGTTTAGTCTAGAGTTACTTCCCTTGGATATATGCAATAATACCAACCCTGGAACAATTATATTTTTTATTTAGTTTTTATTCTAACTTCTTTGAATATTTTCTTCCGATAAGGAAGAAAAACTTTTCACAGGTCCACCACACATGAAAAAGAATTCCCTTCTGATTACAACCCCTCCAACATTTTGATGACTAAATTATGAAATATATAGTTGGAGTTAAATGCCAGTTGATATATTATCTTCATCTGCACCTCTTGTATGGAATTTGATAGAAAACCACAATTGCCACTTCAACTTTTCCACCTTTGTTTTCCTAAATCTGTATCCCAAGCTTCTTTTAAACCTGCAGCGGGGTTACCTATCTCCAATTCCCATAATAACCTTTACATTTTTGAAGTGGTTCCTTTGGGTTGGGAAGGGCAATGAATAATTTTTCAAAAATGGTTAAACTATGAGAGGCTCACTCCCTTACAGTCTTTATTATTAAAAAAAGGATTTAAGATGGAGCCACATTAGGCAATCAAGACAGACCAGAACCTATCTGCAACTCAATCTTTTCTTTATTATGCAGCGTCTGATTATTGGAAGTCTCTTACTCTATTGCAACTGAGATCTCTCCATGGTTTCAACTGTATTGACTGTCCCATTATAGAAACCTGAGTATACTACTAAAAGTGTTAGGAGGAAGATGCTGTGTATCTTTTTTTCTAAACCTGAAGCGTAGCTTTTGTGAACATACTATTTATATTACTTACAAACCTTTTGGAAGAAGAAAACATTTGGCTTATTGATCTATCTGCTTCCTGTATGTTTTCTGGCTACATCCACTGTCTTGGAGCTTCTAATATAAAGGGAGTATGTGCCAAACATGCCACCTGATAATATAATTTTAAAAATGGAATTCCCCACTCTCCCTGTTCTGGGATCCACAAATGATCTTTCTATTACAGGTAGACCTTGCTTACCAATTGCTTTGTTTAATGACTATCTGAAGCTATGATGGTGCTAAAAAAGTAATCTTGCAACCAGTCCTCATATTTACGACTGTTGCAGTGCCCCATGGTCATGGGATCACCATTCACACACTTCACAACCGGCTTCTGACAAGCAGAGTCAATGGAGAAGCCAGCAGTAAAATTGCAAGTTGTGGCACGTGATGTCTCACTTAACAACCTGCTGGGATTCACTTAATGACCGCAACAGAAATGAGGTTGTAAGCCTGTTGCGGTCAAGTTTCGCTTAATGACCATGTTGCTTAGTGATGGTGTTGCCGGTCCCAATTGTGGTTGCTAAGTGAGGACCATCAGTAACTCTTTTAATTTTTTTAGTTCAGAAACAATTTTTTCCATTTTTTTCTTTGTCACAATATTTGCGTAAATATCTTATCCAGCATTTATTCTGGAAGATTTTAAAATTAAAATTAATTTTGAAAGTTTCATTATTTTAACTGCTACAATTTCACCCAATATATATTTAAATATTTCTTATTCCATGTGTTCATTTCTTTTTTAAAAAATTTCTTCAAGTAAAATTAGTATTAAACAATTTGTCAACATTTTTTTGTGGTATTAATTCCTTGATACTTGAAGAATTTGTATTCTACTGGTATATTTAAAATACCACATACAGGTAGTCTTCGCTTAACAACTGTTTGTTTAACAACAGTTCAAAGTTACGATGGCCTTGGAAAAAGCACTTATAACCTGTACTCACATGACCATTGCAAACCACTGCACCACCCCTCATGGTCACATGATCACAATTTGCGACCTTTTTTACAACAGTCGTTAAGCAAATCACCACGGTCATTAAGCAAATTCCAGCAAAAAAGTCCACTGGGGAGCTGGATTCACTTAACGGCCATCGGAAAAGGTTGTAAAATTGGGTCCGGTCATGTGATGACTCACTTAACGACTGCCTCACTTAATGACCAATTTTCCAGTCCCTCAATAAATGAGGACTAGCTGCACCTCTCTTTGAATTTTAAGAGAGGTTTGAAAAAGCATCAGTTGTAACTTTGAAAATATACTGTTTGAAATTTCTGCAAATTTGTCCGTCATATAGGTAGTCCTCGTTTAGCAACCACAATTGGGACCGGCAACTCAGTTGTTAAGCAAAGTGGTGACTAAGTGAAACTGCGACTGTGCTTATGATCTTCCTTCAGTTTTCCTTTGCTTTACAGACCTCTGAAGATCATAAATGCGAGGATTGGTTGCAAAGTTCTTTTTTCATCACTGTCATAACTGTGAACAGTTGCTAAATGAGGCAGTTGCTAAATGAGATTTTTTCCCTCCTCTTTCAGTCGTGACCAATTCTACAGAGGCTGCCTGGATGAGTCCCTGCAGTTTTCCTGGCAAGGTTTTTTCGGAAGTGGTTTGCCATTGCCTCCTTCCTAGGGAGGAGCCCAGCTGGTGGTCACAGGAAATCAAGTCTCTTCTGTTGCATTGCGTTGCATCCAGCAACGAGCAACTGATTCCCATTTTCTTGTGCAAGGTGCCATCAGCGTTCTTCCTCCCATTGGGGTGAGAGTACCTATTTATCTACTTGCTCACGCTTTCTAGCTGCTAGGTGGGCAGGAGCTAAGGGCACAAGACGGGAGCTCACCCCGCCGCATGGAGCTTGGGCTTGAACCGCTGAAGTGTCAACCATTTCTGGCCAGCAACTTCCAGTGTCATTAAGCCACTGTACCACCACATCCCTTAAAATGAGAATTACCTGTAATGTATTTAGCTAAATTACTAGAAGTTGCAAAAAAATCAATATATCATCTGCAAATAAATGTAATTTTTATCTCCTATTTTTATCACTTTAACTTCCTTATTGCTACGGTGCTACTGCTTACAAGATTAAATAATAAAGGGGATAACAGAAAGCCCTGCGTGGTATCTCTTGACATGGGGAACTGTTCTGAATCATAATTATTAATTCTTGTCTGGGTACTGGTAAGATTATAAATCTGATCTATCGTGCTGAAAAAGTAATATAGCTGTGACATGGGAAAAAGCTCCATCGCTGCAGCACAGCAAGCCCCACAGCAGTGGCATGGCAAAAAGCCCCATTGCTGCTGCGCCTCCCCATGCATTGCCAGGATGGTGAGCTCAGCAGAGGGAAGGCAGGCAAAGACGACAATAATTTACCTGTTACGCCATCAGGACCTGGAGATGTCCCTTTTTTAAAATAATCATCAACTTCTGATTGTTCAAATGGACAGTTTTACTATAGGTAGTCCTTGTTTAGCGACCGCAATTGGGACTGGTGATTTGGTCATTAAGCAAAGCGGTCGCTAAGTGAAAATCACTGACCGCAACTATGCAATCAAACTCTACAATTTCTTAAATGCTAAACATTGTCTTCTACTTTCCTAAACACTTGTTCCATCCCCAAGTGTAACTGCATCAATATTTAAATTGCCTGTTAGAACGAAATTCTCCCAAGCAAATTTATTTGTAATTTTCATAACTTTTTGTATAAACCCAAACTGACTGTGATTTGGTGCAGAGAGAAAGAGAGAGAGAGTGCCCAGTGTTATAGTTTTATTGTCAAACTTTCCTTTAATAAAACCAAATCTCTCCTCTTTATCTTTTTGAATCTCTTCTACATAAAATCCATATTAACTTATGTAAAGTTAATATGGCTACCCCTCTTGATTTATTAATCCTTATTAGAACTGTCTTTCAAAACATTTATCCTTAATCTTTGCCAATTTATGTTTCCTGTAACATAATCACAGACACAGGGAAGGATCTTAAATACTGATTCTAGTTCTTTTTATTGGATCACCTAACCGCGGAGCATTTACAGAAATGACCCTACATTGTTCTATCACCAGTCCTACAAAGCCCACTTATAACAGTAAAACCCATCAATCTTACCAAATGACACTTCTGTGAATAAATTCATGGAATTATTGATTTTATAACTATCATTTTTGTCTCCTAAATCCTTTTTCCCAGCTCTCCCCAAGTTCATTTTTCCACTTTTTTAAAGATTCTTTTTATCCAACCCTTTATTGTTTTTATAAATAAGGCATCAAACATACCTAATCTCCTCCTATTTTCCCCCCAACAACAACCCTATGAGGTGAGTTCGGCTGAGAGAGAAGGACGGGCCCAAAGTCACCCAGCCAGCTTTCGTGCCTAAGGCAGGACTAGAACTCATCGTCTCCTGCTTTCTAGCCTGGTGCCTTCACCACTAGACCAAATGGCCTTCACTCATCTTCAACGTCCCAACCCATTTAGACCACATGTTAACAGAAGTAGACAGACTTAATTAAATCCTCTAATCAGTGTAATTAGGGTAGTGTTACACTGAGCTCTCATCTCCCCCTTTCCACTTTATCTTGTCCTTAAATTAAGTTCTATGTAATACTCTCCAGTTCTCTGTATTTTGTCTTACTATTTCCCAACTAATATGAAATCATATTAAACATTTATTTCTTATATATCTCAAATGCCAAAGGGCTTATCATATCTTCTCATAAAGTAATATCGGTTCTTTAAATATCCAAGCTTGTTCTCTATTAGTTCTTCATGAAGTATTCTATAGGTTTGTTAAGACTTCATTC